CAGTTTTTCTCCCAGGTGAAGGACTCAGTGAGTTTCTTTGCATTCCCTGACACACCAGACTAATCCTTTGATCCTATTCACAAACAGGACACCCCTCCATTCTTTGTTTCACCCTGCAGATTTCCTTTGTAGATTTTGCAATCTCTCAATTTGAATCTGGCTCAGTATGCAATACACCGAGAGGGTACAATACAAAGTGCACACTTGACCAGATAGGGAGATAAGGGTCTGTTACTGTGACGCTCTGCTCAGGGAACCCAGAACCCTAAGCCACTATGTCACCCCTCTGCTTTAGCAAGAATGAGCTTTGCTGGAGATTAGACAGTGTGTTGCTCCCTCCCACACCCGTCTGCCAGCTTCACAGCAAACTCCTCAAGATTCTGCCAGTCTTAACCTTGCCTTGCAGGTAGCCATCAGTGAACTCCAGTTCCTGAGTTCCCCAAAGACATATCCCTGCAGTGTCCAGTCCCTGTCACTGCACACTCAGAAATTATTGAGTTCACTGATTCCAAAGAGGCAGCGCACACACCAGCCTGTTAGTTTAGCTGAAGACTCACACTTCACTTCAATATCACAGCACTGAATTGGTTTATAGTAAAACTAAGGCTACGTTTATTAACAAAGAACAGAAATTTAAATGATACTAAGCAAGAGAAAAAGATACAGGTCTGGTTACAAACAAACCAAACCATGCTTTCTAGTGGCTAAAACTTAAATCTGAATAAGTTACAATCTTTGCCTAAGCAGTTTTCTCACTCACATCAAGTTACCAGCATCTTTAGCCCTCCAGGCCAGGGATCCAACTTTCACAGAATCAGAGGGTGCTGTTACCTTTGTCCCCTAAGTGAGGGATGACTAGAACGGCTTTTTGCTCCCACTTATATTTTCCAAAGTCCATTGTCTGTCTCACGAGCTAGAAAGATTTCCTTTGGGTGCAGATTCAGACTCCCAGTGTGTTGCCCGCCTAAGCGGCTCGAGGGGACAACAATGGTCCGTGGCCCGGTGTGCTTGGCACCAATAAAGACACCGAGGGGAGAAAGCAAGCCAAGTTTATTCCAGGGCTCTGAAATGGCACTAGGAGACCAGCATGTCTCAAATCCAGTGCAACAAATACAAACAACTTTTACCTTTTATACCCCAAACTGGTTACATACATTTCTTTGTCTGGCTATTCCCCCTCACCCCTCCCTTCCAGACAACTGTTACAATAAACTCTACATAAGCTTGTGAGAAAACTTTCCCCGTCTTCGCGACCTTGGGTTAGATGCCTGTAAACTAACTACCCCTCCTTCCCCGCTCCTTATCTCTATTATTTCTGCTAGTGTGCGTGAAACTGCAGCCATCTGCTAGAAACGCTGACCAATACATTTCTGCTTCAGCCTACTTCAGACCATGTAAGCAGTTAGCACAGAAGTAGGTGAGAGTTCACAAGATGGAGTTTGGGGGTTCAGATAGGCCCAGAGCAAAAGTTTCATCGGCACTTCTGGCCTTCCACTCTCCCGAGTTACCTGGTAGCTATGCCTAGTGGACCCCAACAAGTGTGCTCACTACATTGTTTCCTCTGCCACTTATTAGCTTGATTGCGTTGTTTACCTTATATGTAAATGTCCTTTCATTGTCCTCTCCCTGTAATTAAGCCGATCAGACAGGTAAATCCATATTCCTTTGTCTAGGGCAGACTTGGATTATTCTCAGCCTCCAAACCCCATTTTAAGAACATATTTCCCACACATATACATAACTCGCTATACACAACCCGTACACACAGAACACAATGATTTTTGGGACCAGCATCACCATTTTGCATACAATATCTAACGTGACACCCCTTAGATACGCAAGATGACAACAGTGTGTTAGGTGTAGTGAGTGTGTCAGGCCTGCTGTGAGTTACAGTCTAGAGGGCCCTTTGCTGACTAAGTGGCTCTTAAGGTCACAGTTACCCCCTGCCTGGAAGGAACACCTCCGACCCATGCGACCTACCTTAACGCCAAGACCTTTAGGACATTGTTTTGAGTATGGACACACAACTCCTTTAATATTATCCACACTCACACTTCACACTGATTAGGATGCCTAGTGGGCTGCCGGCTCTTGGTAGAGACCTCACATGCCACCATTCCGTGAAGAGTTATGCAGATATCCAACCGCGGGGCTTCCCATAAAACCCTAGGCAACCCCTATGCCCTCTGCTGCTTGGCACCGCGGGATTCCTGGATCACACCTCCCACGCTCTCGCTGAGGCATTAAGGTTAGCCATTGACTAACCCACATGCATTGGCTTAGAACCCTCTTGCCTGGACAGTGCTTCTGTCACACATTTTCCTTGCCCTTCATGTGTGCAGTTTCCATATCATACTCATGAATGTCTATACTCCAGCATTGTAGTCTGGAGCTGGTAACTTATGTTCTGTGAAGCCCTGCCAGTGGAGAATGGTCTGCTAGGACTCTAAACTTCCTGTGCAGTAGGTATAGCCTTAGTTACCCCACAATTGCATATTTCCTTTTGATGACTGAGTAATTTTGTTCAGTGATGGGTCAGTTTTTTACTTAAAAAAAGCAATAGGATGCTTCTTATTGCCCTTGCCCGCTTGCATCAGTGTGGCTCCCAGGCCTGTACTTGATGCATCTGTGCAGAGTTCAAACATTTTATCCAAATTTGGACCAGCTAGAGCTAGTGTCACTGACCAAATTCTTTTCACGTGAGCAAAGCCCTCCTGACAGGCTGTGGTCAAAACCACCTTGGCAGGCGGTGTCTCTTTGCAGAGGTCTTTTTGTCATCACAGTCCCAATGTTGCTGAAACCTTCCATGAGACTTTGGTAATAACTCAGCAAGCCTCTAAAAGAGTGAATTTGCTTTTTGGTTCAGGGTACATGCCTGTTAACAATGCAGTCCACTTTTAAGAGATTCTGGCAAATCTGGCCCCCTCCTGCCAATGGCCTAGATAAGGGACTTTGGCCGCCCCTATCTTGCACTTTGACACTTTTAATATGAGACCTGCATCTTTGGGTATGTCTATACAGCAATTAGACACCTGCGGCTGGCCCGTGCCAACTGACTTGGGCTTCTGGGGCTGTTTAATTGCAGTGTAGACTTCCAGGCTCAGGCTGGAACGCGGGCTATAGGACCCTGCACGATTGGAGGGTCCCAGAGCCTGGGCTCCAGCTCGAGCCCAGAAGTCTACATTGCAATGAAACAGCCCCACAAGCCATGCCCCATGAGCCCAAGTCATCTGGCACGGGCCAGCCATGGGTTTTTCTTTGCAGTGGACAAACCCTTTGAGTCTCTTCAGCACAATTCCTCTGCGGTCCTTATGACCTTCTCAGGAATTTCTGAAGATTGTGATATCATCAATGGAGGCCAAGTAAACGTGGTTTAGAACAGAACAGGGACTCGATTCATTATAGGCTAGATAGAAAATGTTCAGAGTCTTGTGGCTTTTGGAACTGATGCACCTCCTCACCAACCCTGACTTGAAACAAATATTTGAGCCCTCGCTGCTTGGCAGGTTCCCTTGCTCTTCTGAAAGCTGATCTCTCTTCAACCACATCTTTTGCAAAACCTTGAAAAATCATTATCTCATTTTGTGGCATCCCCCAAAGCTGCTCTTTCACCCCCCCCTCCCCCAAGAGCTGGCTGCATTATTATTTTTCTTTCTCAGTAAATCTGAGAACTTTGACAATCAGTGCGTGAGGTCTGGCAAGCCAGGGTCTGCTGAGCTCTTTCTAAACCGAATTTAAAATCATCCAGCATTACACAGCAGGGCTGACTGGACTCGGTACAAGTGCATGTCCACTTGGGGACCAGTGACCTGCGGTGATAATGGTGACCCAAATCAGCCTTCTTAAAACAGTGTCGTTTAATCTTAACAGTAGGAACACAGCACAGCAAGAGACAAGGCAGGCTATACTTCCTCGAAGAACCCCCCAGCCTCTGGAGGTCAGGAGGCAATTGCATCCTCTAAACCATCTCAGCGAACCAGGCTCTCCTCTAGTCAGGAGGGATGCAGTCCTAGGAAAGCTGGGCTAGCAGACCCACCATGTGTGGGCAGAGGTAGCATGTCACAGTTAATTGTCCTTGGTGTTTGCAGAGGAGCTCTTCTCTGAGCTATTGTCCATCTTCCTGGGTCATTTCCTGAATACCCAGCTGTTGAATTAACCCAATATGTGCATACAAAAACATCTTTACAATATTCAGACAAACATCATACAGTATTCACAGATTGCTACAGGGTAACCCATAGAGCTCGCTTTAGCATTTATTTTATTCAGCAGTAATGCAAGGAACCTACAGGCCTGTATCCTGTAAGATGGGTTGTTAATTATTTTTTGTCAAGGTCCAAATTTCTTAGGCAACATATAGGCAAGGTCCAGACTCCAGAGAAACATTTTTCACACCACAGTAACAATAATAACAAGTAATTTAAAAGATTTTGCGGTCCATTCAAAAACGTCTGGCGGTCCGGATTTGGCCCGCAGTCCACCTATTGACTACTCCTGATGTAACATATTATAAAAGTTATATCCCAGTCTGTATGCAGGGGGAGAGAGAGATGTATCCCTTGGGAGATGCCAGAACGATGGCCACTGCTGATGATGAGGAAGGTGATGATGAAGCGGAAGATAATGGCTAACATTTCCGGTTGTTCTGCAAGGGATGGTGGGAGTATATGGATGTTCAGATGTACAGTCTGTATTATCTCAGTCTACCTTGCTGGGTTAGAGTGTTTGTGACTTTGATGAATGTAGTAATAAACTATTACAAAGACAGAAGGGTTCCTAAAGTGTGAGTGTTGCAACCATGCACATCAGGGTTCCCAACTGAACAATAATTTTAATAATACTGGGCCTGATCTTGGGACAAGAACCATCAATATCTCAGAGTGATAACTGGGAATTCTTAAGTAATCGATACAAGTCATAGATCGGGCTACAACAGGCAACTCCAAATCCATCACAAGAATATTAAAATAATAAATTCCACCCCCTCCCCCAAGTTTTCAAATAAATATTTTTCTGGCCATCACCCTTCTCAGGGCTTCCTTTACCTCCTTATTCCTCAGGCTGTAGATCAAAGGGTTCAGCATTGGAGACACCACTGAGTAGAACAGGGAAAGCAGTTTGTCAGTGTTAAGTGAGTAGCGGGATTTGGGTCTCAGATACATCACGATGCTGGACCCGAAAAACAAGGTCACCACAATGAGGTGGGAGGAGCAGGTGGAGAAAGTTTTGCTCCTGCCCACGGATGACGGAATACTGAGGATGAGCAGGAAGGGGACCGTGACAAAGGTGACAGCGATGATGAAAACAGCTATTTCGTTCCTGTAAGTATCTGCGCAGGCCAGCTTCAGCAGCAGGGGTAGGTTGCAGAAGAAGTGGTTGATCTTATTAGGCCCACAGTAGGGCAGAGTGAACATGAAAGTTGTCTGCCCAACTGCCACCAGCACCCCGATGAGCCAGGACACAGTTGAGAGCTGGAGACACACACCTCTGCTCATCATGGTTGTGTAGCGCAGAGGGTGACATATGGCCATGTAATGGTCATATGCCATGGCAGCCAGCAGGCAACACTCTGTGATCCCCAAGAAGGAGAAGAAATACATCTGTGTGGCACAGCCCAGGAAGGAAATACTCTTGTCCTCTGAGAGGAAGTTCACCAGCATTTTGGGGATAGTAGCCGAGGTATAACCGATTTCCAGAAAGGACAAGTTCCGAAGGAAGAAATACATGGGGGACTGAAGGGCAGGGTCCACTACCGTGATTGTGATGATGAAGATGTTTCCCACCACGGTGATGAGGTACAACAGCAGCACCAGAAAAAAAAGTGAAACTCGGAGCTCTAGGATGTTGGAGAAAGCCACAAAGAAGAACTGTGTCAGAACTGTGTGGTTCCTGCTAGCCATGTCCTACAGTTGTTTTCTATCTGTGGAGATAATAAAATCATAGAATCATAGAACTGGAAGGGACCCCAAGAGGTCATCTAGTCCAGTCACCTGCACTCAAGGCAGGACTAAGTATTATCTAGACCATCCCTGACAGGTGTTTGTCTAATCTGCTCTTAAAAATCTCCAATGATGGAGATTCTGCAACCTCCCCAGGCAATTTATTCCAGTGCTTAACCACCCTGACAGTTAGGAAGTTTTTCCTAATCTCCAACCTAAACCACTCTTGCTGCAATTTAAGCTCATTGCTTCTTGCCCTATCCTCAGAGATTAAGGAGAACAGTTTTTCTCATTCCTCTTTGTAACAACCTTTTATGTACTTGCAAACTGTTATCATGTCCCCTCTCAGGCTACGTCTTCACTACAGGGGGGGGGGTCGATTTAAGATACGCAAATTCAGCTACGTGAATAGCGTAGCTGAATTCGACGTATCGCAGCCGACTTACCCCGCTGTAAGGACGGTGGCAAAATCGACCTCCGTGGCTTCCCGTCGATGGCGCTTACTCCCACCTCCGCTGGTGGAGTAAGAGCGTCGATTCGGGGATCGATTGTCGCGTCCCGACGAGATGCGATAATTCGATCCCCGAGAGGTCGATTTCTACCTGCCGATTCAGGCGGGTAGTGTAGACTTAGCAGTCTTCTCTTCTCCAGACTAAACAAACCCAATTTTTTCAATCTTCCCTCATAGGTCATGTTTTCTAGACCGTTAATCATTTTTCTTGCTCTTCTCTGGACTTTCTCCAATTTGTCCACATTTTTCCTGAAATGTGGCACCCAGAACTGGACAGAATACTCCAGCTGAGGCCTAATCAGTGGGGAGTAGAGCAGAAGAATTACTTCTCGTGTCTTGCTTACAACACTTCTGCTAAGACATCCCAGAATTATGTTTGCTTTTTTTGAAACAGTGTTACACTGTTGATTCATATCTAGCTTGTGATCCACTATGACCCCCAGATCCCTTTGCATAGTACTCCTTCCTAGGCAGTCATTTCCCATTTTGTATGTGTGCAACTGATTGTTCCTTGCTAAGTGGAGTACTTTGCATGTGTCCTTATTGAATTTCATCCTATTTACTTCAGACCGTTTCCTCGGTTTGTCCAGATCGTTTTGAATTTTAATCCTATCCTCCAAAGCATTTGCAACCCCTCTCAGCTTGGTATGGTCCGCAAACTTTACAAGTGTACTCTCTATGCATTATCTAAATCATCGATGAAGATATTGAACAGAACCCGACCCAGAACCGATCCCTGCAGGACGCCACTCATTATGCCCCTCCAGCATGACTGTGAACCACTGATAACTACTCTCTGGGAATGGTTTTCCAACCAGTTATGCACCCGCCTTATAGTAGCTCCATCTAAGTTGTATTTCCCTAGTTTGTTTATGAGAAGGTCATGCGAGACAGTATCAAAAGCCTTACTAAAGTCAAGATATACCACATCTACTGCTTCCCCGCTATCCACAAGGCGTGTTACCCTGTCAAAGAAAGCTATCAGGTTGGTTCATTAACTGGTTAAGTTGGGTGAATCGTATAAGAAATTTATATACATATATATAATCTCTGACACAACAAATTTTCAGTGGTGCTTTCATTTGTGGATGCCCAGTGTAAGACATCTGGTACTTGATGTGCAGTGGCACTAAGATCCCACAGCTCCCATTGTCTTCAATGGGAAAGCCAGGCTCAATGTGTCGCAACTTGGACACCCAAAACAGGAGGCATTTAAAGCAAGTGGCCCATTTTGAGAATGTCAGCCTGGATCTCCCTGTTCTGTAAAATGAGGAGAGGATTGCTCTGTCTCACCGAGTGGACCAGGCTTTATTTCCTGTTCCCCAGGTCAGGTTACAGAGGTTGATATCCCTGGTTCCGTTACCAGACACACCCAATGTGGTCTGGCTACACAACATTTTGGAGCAAGCCGGAGTGAGTCCCCCAGCCCAGGTCAGCAGACTTAGTCCACCCACCTCACTACAATTCATATCCTGAGCTCCATCCTCACCTGCTATCATTTTCCTGTGAGAGTTCATTTGGGATCATAGTGATCGCTGTGGGGCATTTAGTGATTTAATTAACTCAAGACAAAAATGATAAAAGACTCAAAACCACCCCATGATCTGTGGGTGAACAGTTTTCACAAAGCAATCACTCTCTGTCTAACCTATCAATCCTCATCCTCAAAGAAAACCTGCACAACACTTTCAAAAGACAACCCTGGGAGCTTAAATTCATAACTTTGCTAGACACTAAAAATCATGGACTGAACAGAGACATTGGATTTTTGGCTTATTACAAGAATCTGTAACCCCCACTAACGCTCCCCCACCCAGCTGCTTTTTTCTACCCCCTTTCCTTTCCTCCCTATGGCTGGACGGGTGTTAACAAGCCACTTCACCTTGAATGGTCCCTTGAAATATGTGTTAACTACTTATGCTAAACAATCAGTTCCACCTTGTATTTATTTATGACACTCTCTGGCTTTGTCTACATTAGCACTTTTGTCTGTCAGGGGTGTGAAAAAAAAATCCGCGCCTGACCGACAAAAGTTTTACTGACAAAAGCGCCAGTGTGGACAGCGCTACGTTGGCGGGAGACGCTCTCCTGCTGACAAAGCTACCACCGCTTGTTAGGGTGGTTGTATTTTGCCCGCAGAAGAGCTCTCTTCTGTCAGCAAAGAGCAGCTACACAGGAGACCTTACAGCAGCACAGCTGTAGCAGCACAGCTATGCCAGTGTAAGGTCCATAGCATAGACATAGCCTAAGTACATTTCCCAGACCTCAAGAAGAGCTCTGCATAAGCTCAAAAGCTTGTCTCTGTCGCCAACAGAAGTTGGTCCAATAAAAAATATTACCTCACCCACCTTGACTCTCTAACATCCTGGGACTGACATGGCTACAACAAACACTGCATCTATCTATCTATCTATCATTTTCATAGAGACCCATTAAAACTATACTTAGCAGCCAACTCCCTGATTGCATTTTTTTCAGGCACAGAACTATCCTAAGTTCAGGGGGAGTTGGGTAAGTAACTCCCTGAGGTTCCTTTGGAAATTCCAGCTATAAATTATAATGCTTTGTATTATTCCTTACTATAACAAAATTGTAAGGAGAGAGGAATAACACACCAGTGGCTGACTCCCTGCTCCCTTGTGCCATGTGTAGTCATTTATACCAATGCAAGGTGAGTGCAAAATGACTCCATATCAGAATTACCCACTTGTACTGGCAGGAGTGTTTCTATACCCATTCAGCACTCACATCACTCACATGGAAATGACTACACAAAAGGTACAAAGCAGTGGAGAAAAAGGACCAAGCTAAAAATATGTACCGATGTGCTTGGTTAAAAAGCAATAACATGTAGAAAACACATTGACTTTAAAAAAAATATTCTAATCTAATATAATCATGTGCTTTAAAACTTACGTGCAGCTGAGCGAATAGCGTGTTGAGCAACTCTGAAGAAGCCAAGCCTTGAGGAGTCTGAGTATTTAAGTTTTTTTATGCCTCCACTGAGACAGGTTCCCTGGTGCATTGAATCCTTGAAACGTAAGAGACTCGTAGATGAGACAAAGAAATTTTTTTCTCTCTTTGGGGTGGAGAATATACGGCTTCATAGTCAGGGTCAAAGTTTCCAGGGACAGCTGTTTTGAACAAGGGATGGTGGAAAATTTTCCATCAAAACTTTTTTCACTAGAAAATTGGGTTTCCAATTAAGCTAATGCTTCAACAGAAGTGTCTGCTTTGGAAGACAGGAATCCCCAAAACTTTTTGAATATGGGACTAAAGTCCTTAAATCACTGATTTTGAACTTATTACCCATGAGGAACCTCACTATTTCTCTCTCTCTCTGAGGTACTTCTATGGCCTTCATAGGAGTAAGCACCTCATACCATTTCTTTAGCCTCACAACTCCCCTGTGATGTAGGCAGTGCTGTGATCCCCATATTGCAAACAGGGAGCAGACGCACCCAGAGATAGGGGTCAGCCTTTCAAAGGTATTTCAGAGCCTAAAGATGCAGAGAGGCCCCTTGTGAGATTTTCAAAAGTGCTTAAACAGGGAAGGGCCGAAATCCAAAGGGTCTAGATTCACAAAGGCACTTAGGTGCCTAACTATTGCTTTAGGCCCCTGAAGATCCCACAATCAGGCCCCCTCTGGGATTCACAAAACTTCTGCTGAACTGCCATCAAACCCTGTCGGTGCCAAAACTCCGTGGGCTTCTACTTTTTTGCAGTAAAAGTTCCCAAGGTGCCTCCATTTCTGCCTCTGGGCATATGCTCCGGAGCACAACGCCAGCCAGACGGACACCTGAGCCCCAGAGCAATGCACGAGCTGGGGAAGATAGGCGGTCCTCTGCCTCATTTGTCTGCGGGGCCCAATTTGGTAAACATGGTCAGAGCTCACCTACCGGATTGGGCCCTTATAGGCCAGCTTATGCAAAGCAAGAATGGGCTGGAATGGGGGGAAGAGGAGGACCTCCCTCATAACTTTTAGCCCAGTGGTTAGGCTATGTAGCTGGGGTATGAGATAACCCTGGTTCAAGTCCCCCCTCTGCCTCACAGGGAGAAGGGATTTGAACAAAGATCTGCCACCTCTCAAGTTTCATAGATTCCAAGGTCAGAAGGGACCATGGTGATCATCTAGTCTGACCTCCTGTATAACACAGGCCGGAGAACTTCCCCCAAAATAATTCCTACAGCAGAACTTTAAGAAAAATATCCAATCTTGATTTATAAACTGTCAGTGAGGGAGAATCCACCATGACCCTTGGTAAATTGTTCCTATGTGTAATCACCCTCACTGTTACAAATTTACACCTTATTTCCAGTCTAAATTTGTCTAGCTTCAACTTCCAGCCACTGGACCGTGTTGTACCTTACTCTGACAGATTGAAGAGCCCATTATTAAATATTGCTTCTTTAGGTAGGTACTCAAACTGTAATGAAGTCACTGCTTCAC